TAATAGGTATGCTAAAACAAAGAATATGAATAATGTATTTTTAAAGCACATAAAATTAAGACTGAGAAAAGTTTTTTCCCCAATTCCCAGTAATATAATTATTTTTTTTATAAATTGTTGTAGAATTATCCTTCAATATGAAACTCAATTGTAAAACATATATATTGTATAAAGCCATTTGTCACACTGTGTTTTTAACATTAGCCATTTCAGAAAATAATTTTTAAAAGAGGAATTATTTCCCTACGTAATTATTTCCCTCTTTCTAGCCTCCACCCCGAGCTACCAAAAGCTCCAGCTTCTTTCACCTCATGTCTAAGATTAAGCAAGGAGTTTCTTTATTTGTAGAGGTACTTCAAGTGAATGATGTTTTCCTCAGTCACATCTCTGCAATATGCTATTTTTTCCTTTAGTAATCAGAGAATCATAGAATAGTTTGGGCTGAAAGGGACCTTTAAAGATCATCTAGTACAATCTCCCTGCCATGTGCAGGGGCTTCTTTTACTAGATCAGATTGCTCAAAGCCCCGTACAACCTGAGCTTGAACACTTCCAGGGGTGGGACATCTAAATCTAACCTCTTTCAGTTTAAAACAGTTACCCCTTGTCCTGTCACTACAGGCCCTGGAAAAAATCTCTGTCCATTCTTATTATAAGCCCACCTTTAAGTATTGAAAGGCCACAATAAGGTCTCCCTAAAGCTTTCTCTTCTCCAGGCTGAATAATCCCAACTCTCGCAGCCTCAGAGGAGAGGTGTTCCAACCCTCTGGTCACTTTTATGGCCCTCCTCTGGATCCACTCTGACAGGTCCATGTTTTTCTTGTGTTGAGAACCCCAGAGCTGGATGTAGTACTGCAGGTGGGGTCTCATGAGAGTGGACTAGAGGGGGAGAATCACCTCCCTCAACCTGCTGGCCACACTTCTTGTTATGCAGCCCAGGATACGGTTGACTTTCTGGGCTGCAAACGCACATAGCCAGCTCATATCGAATTTTTCATCCACCAGTATCCCCAAGTCATTCTCTGCAGGGCTGCTTTCAGTCCATTCATCCCTCAGTCTGTATCTATACTGGGGATTGCTCTGACCCAGGTGCAGGACCTCGCACTTGGCCTTGTTGAACTTTATGAGGTTCACATGAGTCCACTCCTCAAGCCTGTCAACGTCCCTCTGGATGACATCCTTTCCCTCTAGTGAATCAACTGCACCACTCAGTGTCTTCAGCAAACTTGCCGAGGTTGTACTCAATCCCACTATGTCATTACTGAAGATATTAAATCTAACAATAAATTCTCTAATTTCATTTCAATTCTTGTAAGAATAATTGCTTTTAAGTCTTAGTTTTGCATCCTGCTTCAGTATCTTCTTGTTTTGGTGAGAAAACCATATTTCAGATATTGCAATATTTGACTGTCAAGGTAAGTAAGAGAATACCCTAATATAAAGAAGGAGATTGAATGAATGGCTGAAGTAGAAAAAAATTTTTGTTACTGGAAAATCGATTATATGAATTTTCCACTTTTTTTTTTTTTTTTTTTTTCATTGGGGA